GTAGAAATAATGACAGATACGTATATTTGGCTGCATACATTTTAAAAAAGTTGTCACTTGGCTTTGGATTTTCACCCTCGCCTTTTTGCAGACAAGGTCTCTTGCTTTACAGACAATGTCTAATTAACCCCATGTATACACAAAGCACTATAGCCTCCTAGCATCCACTTATGTTTAATAGCTCTGGCATGTAGTACAAAGCATCAATTGGCATAAGCGTGCCCTTTGTGCTCCTCCATCTTCGTCTTGGTCTTTTTTCAAGGGTTTGTCCATTAAACAGGAGGCTTTGAAGACACTTTTAAGATAATTCTTTCAACTGTAAGTTAATCCTTCCCATTTCATTTGGAGTGCCTCTCAAGGGTCAATCAATGAGATTGTTTTATTATGAAAATGTACATACTGCACTAGCAATTGGAAAGGCAGACAGGAAGGTGCTAAAGGCTAGGAGAAGAAAGAAACATTTTTCAGTTGTGAAAAATCTGAGAAGGAAAGCTTTCTGAGCCTGTAATTGCAGCGTCTCACAGTTTCTGTTTGCCTGCAAATAAGAAAGCCTTGTGGGGCAGGAGTATATCTATAATCAAAGGAAACCAAGCAAAATATCATAGTAAGAAGCACATGAACTATATCTACAGTTCAAACTGTTATATAGGACACTAAATTTGAAATTAAAAAGGCAATACTTAAATTCACAAATCGTAACTAGGAGAATATTCAAGTCTATTATATAACAAGTATAATGGAACATATGGTTTATTGTAGTGCACACTTGGAAGTTGTATATCACAGAAAGTAGGTATTTTTGTGTTAAAGCAGAATTAAACTTTTATGTTCTCCAGCTTTTGATCTAATGTGCAAGCACAACATATTTGCACATTATAGTTAACTTAGCTTGTACAGTGGTCTCCTCCAGGGCTACAATGTCTCCTTTGTTGCTCCATCATTGGTGCTTCCATCTTCTCCCCCTATACTTCAAGGCTCAGGAGTCTTCAGCCATCTCTATTGAAAGGGCTGGGATGATGTAACTCTAATGCATGTACACAGGACTTAAAGGGTAACTCCATTTTAGTAGAAACAAATTGGAAAATAAAAAATAATAATTTAGCGCATATAATTGCAACTCAAATCATTATGTAGTTAAATGTTATTATCAATTACATTTCCTTTTCAATCTTCAGCACTGCAGTTTTCTCTAAAATGCAATGCAATATGGCTACCTGGAGGCATTCTGTACACAGCTGGTGTACAGAACACCCACTGAAAATGTAAATTCCTGCTTGAGTGATTTGCTCACTGATTTTCCCAGAAGTCTTCATTAAGAAATATACAAATCAGAATTTGAGCATCCACTCAATAAAAAATTTAATTTACATAGTTATATAGTTAGTCTGGCTGAAAAAAGACAAAAGTCCATCCAGTTCAACCATTAAAAACAAAAAAAAAAAAGTTGTAATCCTATACTTACAGTTGATCCAGAGGAAGGCAAAAAACCCAGCAAAAGCATGATCCAATTTGCTCCTGCAGGGAAAAAATTCCTTCCTGAATCCCCGAGAGGCAATCGGATATTCCCTGGATAAATTTTTGGTGAGATATTCCCAAAGGGAAATTACATCTAAAGGGATGCCGACCCTGCAATTTCTTCTTTAGAGCCCTGCAGGTGCAGCAGCTGATTGATAATTCTAAAACCACTCCCATACAGATTCACTCAGCACATGGACACAGACAAACCACTTTTGCTTCAGACTAACAAAAGGTAGGAATCTGAAACAAAGTTTGTTAAAATGCTTCCCAGTACCTGAAACTTACTGCTACAATCTGTAAATGTCTGGGATTGTACACTTAGTTGGTCATAGGCAGCTGTCAGTGTGCAGTTCAGTGTGCAGTTCATAAATAACTGCAAACAGACAGTGGGTAAGATTTCATGGCACAAGGGATAGTGTATAATAAATATAGTCATGGGAAAATGAAGTGCACCCATGGACTTGTTCAACATATTTAAGCAGGCAAACATTAGATCTTTACCTAAACAGTAGCTACAGGTAAAGGTGGTATACCTGAATTAAAAAAAATAAGAAATACATGCCCTTTGGATCAATTATTCAACAAAAATATCAATAGATGCAAATACTGTATTCTGTTAAAAATGTACACCCTTGGCATCAAAAGCTGATATTGCTCCCTTACTTACCTTGTAAATCCAACCCATTCAGTTTAGAATAAAAATGAAGGGAAAACATTTGTGTATATACAGTATATAAAAACATTTTAAATACTTTATAATGGACTGCGATCACTTCCTTAAATGCAATCAAAAGAGACACATTTGAGTCTTACACGGCCTGCTTCTGAAGTGGCAGCAGCACAGGCTGTGGAGAGGTGGCAACCTACTAGTATGTACAGTACATGTCAATTTTATGGATTGAATGTGTTCATAGTATCAAGTTCAAGTATATAATCATTTCTGTAGACACTACTTGAATTAAGATCTAAAATTTGTCTGTTCAAATATGTTAAAAAAGGTCAACAATTTCCATGGGGTATTTTTAGACTGCAGGTTAGTCCCACTTTAAGTTTGATACACAGTATCAGGGCATCATGTTATATTATAATTTATACTGAAGTATTGCTTATTTTGTGTTTTATGCAATGCTGCAACAATTAGTGTATACCCCATGCAACAAGAAAGTGTATATACTGTACATTTAGATATACATACAAATAAACTACTACTACTTGGGCAAGTAAATATGATTATGTGCCATTTTTTAATCCTTTAAAATGTGATTTGGTTAACTTCACACATCATATGTGAGTCTTGTCATCATTAATATCCACCCATAAATTTAGATGGAAGCACCTATAACTGAGCAATGGTTGACCTCTCAGAACCAGTATATATACCTTGTGTATATATATATATATATATATATATATATATATATATATATATATATATATACACAGGTGAAACTCGAAAAATATGAATATTGTGCAAAAGTTCATTTATTTCAGTAATGCAACTTAAAAGGTGAAACTAATATATGAGATAGACTCATTACATGCAAAGCAAGATAGTTCAAGCCATGATTTGTCATAATTGTGATGATTATGGCTTACAGCTCATGAAAACCCCAAATCCACAATCTCAGAAAATTAGAATATTACATGCAATCAATAAAACAAGGATTGTACATAGAACAATATCAGACCTCTGAAAAGTATAAGCATGCATATGTACTCAGTACTTGGTTTGGGCCCCTTTTGCAGCAATTACTGCCTCAATGCGACGTGGCATGGAAGCTATCAGCCTGTGGCACTGCTGAGGTGTTATGGAAGACCAGAATGCTTCAATAGCGGCCTTCAGCTCTTCTGCATTGTTCAGTCTCATGTCTCTCATCTTTCTCTTGGCAATGCCCCATAGATTCTCTATGGGGTTCAGATCAGGCGAGATTGCTGGCCAATCAAACACAGTAATCCCACGGTCACTGAACCAGGTTTTGGTGCTTTTGGCAGTGTGGGCAGGTGCCAAGTCCTGCTGGAAAATAAAGTCAGCATCCCCATAAAGCTTGTCTGCGGAAGGAAGCATGAAGTGCTCCAAAATCTTTTGGTAGACGGCTGTGTTGACCCTGGACTTAATGAAGCACAGTGGACCAACACCAGCAGATGACATGGCTCCCCAAATCAACACAGACTGTGGAAACTTCACACTGGACTTCAAGCATCTTGCAGTGTGTGCCTCTCCATTCTTCCTCCATACTCTGGGTCCTTGGTTTCCAAATGAGATGCAAAAGTTACTCTCATCAGAAAAGAGGACTTTGGACCACTGAGCAACAGACCAGGTCTGTTTTTCTTTAGCCCAGGTAAGACGCTTCTGACATTGTTTGTTGTTCAGGAGCGGCTTGACAAGAGGAATACGACATTTGAAGCCCATGTCCAGGATCTGTCTGTGTGTGGTGGTTCTTGATGCACTGACTCCAGCCTCAGTCCACTCCTTGTGAAAGTCCCCAACACTTTTGAATGGCCTTTTCCTGACAATCCTCTCCAGGCTGCGGTCATTCTTCCTGCTTGTGCACCTTTTTCTTCCACACTTTTCCCTTCCACATAACTTTCTATTAATGTGCTTTGATACAGCACTTTGGGAACATCCAACTTCTTTTGCAATTATCTTTTGAGGCTTTCCCTCTTATGGAGGGTGTCAATGATGGTTTTCTGTACAACTGTTTGGTCAGCAGTCTTTCCCATAATTGTGATTCCTACTGAACCAGACTGAGAGACCATTTAAAGGCTCAGGAACCCTTTGCAGGTGTTATGGCTGAATTAGCTGATTAGAGTGGGACACTTTGAGCCTAGAATATTGCACCTTTTCACAATATTCTAATTTTCTGACATTGTGGATTTGGGGTTTTCATGAGCTGTATGCCATAATCATCACAATTATGACAAATCACGGCTTGAACTATCTTGCTTTGCATGTAATGAGCCTATCTCATATATTAGTTTCACCTTTTAAGTTACATTACTGAAATAAATGAACTTTTGCACGATATTCTAATTTTTCGAGTTTCACCTGTATATACACAGTTTTTTTACCTTTGCTCATCTTTTTTTGTATCTTAGTGCTGTTGTTCTCCTGCAGTCTTTTTACTCACTGTCAAGATGTACATAATTTCTTAGTGGGGGTTTTGTAATCGTGTCAGTAGTGAACAATGCCTGCGCAATGTGCATTGCTTGTAGTTTTCATTGGAAGAGCATGTGGCAGGGTAAAAAACACAGGACAGAATGTTGTCACCCTGTAGCAATAAATACCTGAAGGGCCATTATGGCAAAATCTTTATTTTAAAGAAATATTGCACATTTTAAAATATTAAAATTATATTAATAAGGTACAGTAAATTTTAGTAATTGGGTTTACATGAACTGTACTTTAGCATAGCAGACTTGAGTTGTCATTCAAAAATGGCAACTGAGCATTAAACTTTCAAGAAATATTTAAATAGTCACTGTGTATAGCTGACAGTCAAAAACATATTTCATCAACTAATAAAATATATACAAAGGCTTTAGTAACCAACATACACTATATTGCCAAAAGTATTGGGACACCCCTCCAAATCATTGGATTCAGGTGTTCCAATCACCTCCATGGCCACAGGTGTATAAAATTAAGCATTTAGGCATGCAGACTGCTTCTACAAACATTTGTGAAAGAATGTGTCACTTTTAGGAGCTCCGTGAATTAGAGCGTGGTACCGTGATAGGTTGCCACCTGTGCAACAAGTCCATTCGTGAAATTTCCTTGCTACCAAATATTCCATGGTCAACTGTTAGTGGTATTATAACAAAGTGGAAGCAACTGGGAAATACAGCAACTCAGCCATGAAGTGGTAGGCCACATAAAATGACAGTGTGTGCTGAAATGCACAGTGCGCAGAAGTTGCCAACTGTCTGCAGAGTCAATAGATAAAGACCTCCAAACTCCATGTGGCCTTCAAATTAGTGCAACAACAGTGCATCAACATTCCAAGACATTTTGGGCAATTCCATGCTCCCAACTTTGTGGGAACAGTTTCGGGATGGCCCTTTCCTGTTCCAACATGACTGCGCACCAGTGTACAAAGCAAGGTCCATAAAGACATGGATGAGCAAGTTTGGGGTGGAGGAACTTGACTGGTCAGCACAGTCCTGACCTCAACCTGATAGAACACCTTTGGGATGAATTAGAGCGGAGACTGCGAGCCAGGCCTTCTCGTCTGATATCAGTGCCTGACCTCACAAATGCGCTTCTGAAAGAATGGTCAAACATTCCCATAGACACACTCCTAAACCTTGTGGACAGGCTTCCCATGAGAGTTGAAGCTGTTATAGCTGCAAAGGGTTGCCAACTCAATATTGAATCCTACAGATTAAGACTGGGATGTCATTAAAGTTCATGTGCGTGTAAAGACAGGCGTCCCAATAATTTTGGCAATATAGTGTATATATACACAAACATTTTTCCAGCTGGATGTTGTTTCACACATGGAAAAGCCATCAATGTCAGCATCAAGCTGATCTAAAAACTAATATGATTATATTAGTTATATTTAAAGGGAATGTATTTTGTATTTTTGTACTTTATCTTGCACTTATATATTACTCGTTACATATATTTATCTATATTTTCTTTATAAACTATGGTAAGTTTATATGGTACCTTAAAAATAAAAATATGTTGTTTATTTTTGAGCAGTTTGATATCAAATATCATTAATACATGCTTTGCATCCTCATGTATAGTCAGTAGGTGAATTTTGGCTCTTTTTCCTGTACCCTGCCAGCATGCTACAGAGAAGGTTCTCTTCTATGGAGAGAGAGCTATAGCCCTCCAATCAGCAGAGAGCATGAGTATTGATGGTTCATGGTTGCAATACTGTATGTCTTACTCAGAAGACAGTGATCAACAGAGATACCACTTTTTTATACACAGAGCAAGGTATCTGATCTGCTCCAGTTTGGCAGGGGACAGGCTTTTCTGCTCAGACTGTGACTGTGTTCTAAAGAATACAAACTGTAGAACTATGCACACCTTTTGTTTTGATACATATGGAATGGAATGCAGCTGATGTAGCTAAAAGTTCAATTGAACTTTGATGTACAATGACCAAAAACTATTTTATATTATTATTCATTACAAATTGAAATGTACTGTTTTTCAATAACGTTTAGTAATCAGTTCCAAACTCTCTTTTGTTTCAGTAACTTGCTACAATTTGTACAGGGCTCTGCATAGCTGCAAATGCGTGCACCAGCACTGCTTTTTTTTTTTTTCATTTTATTGACTAAACCCCCACGACTAAGAATTTATAAGTATTGAGCCTCCAAATACTATTACCAATTTCTTCTCGTAATCTTGTCTCATACTTTTTATTCTGTTTGTTTTATGGCTGTTAATGGGTGATACAGAAATGCATAGTCATTCCAGCTGATTTGGTGATTTGCATACCTTAAAGATAAGTCATTGCAAGTCATTCCTTCAGTTGCCCTTCACACAGTTGGATCCTTGGATTGATAACTTGAAATTCTCACAGAGCCATAATCCAAGACAGATGTTCACAGCTGCTTCTCTATTGCACTACTGCACCACAGTAATTAAACACTGTGCCCCATTGGCTCTGGCATTATTAGCCTGTTAAGCCTGTAGAGAGAATCTTACAAATCTATTAATAATTATTGTTCCTGTCATAAAACTCTTTCAGTGCCATTTTTTTCACTGCCACCTAGTGAAAATGGCCCACAAACCAATTGAAAGGCAGCAGAAAAGAATACTAGGAACATTTTGCTCTAGATCTATCATGAATTAATTTTCCAAAATATAATTTCTGCTGTAAGGAACCTATGGTTCCAACTTATCCCCTGTGGAGCAACATTGGTCTTCCATCAGCTTTTAGTCTAGGATTATTCTTCCTTTATAGCCTATTGCACTTGCTATAGGTAAGCTCAAGCATCATCTACTATTTGAAATATTGGGGGAGATTTACTAAAGCTGGTTCACTCCAAATCTGATGCAGTTGTGCATGGTAGCAAATTAGCTTCTAACCTCAGCTTGTTTAATCTTTGGTAAAAAAAACCTGGAAGCTGATTGGTTCCTATGCAAAAGTGCGCCTGACTTTGAACTCTCCAGCTTTAGTAAATAAACTCCATTGTGTCCCAGTGCAGCCACATTGAAAAAATACTCTCCCTGAAGGATTCATCAAGGCTTCTCAAGGTCCTGAACTGATCTCAACCACAAGACATGAAATGTATACAGAGAGGCAGTTTATCGTGCAAATGTTCTACATTAATTGCAACTGTGGCATTGGTTCCTTTTGCTTGTGCAAACCTTTAAAAATTTTAAATCAGAGTTGCAATGATCAATCTTTAAGAGACCCTAGAAATGAATTCTTAAGAGTTCTTCAGGTTGATGCTTTAGCTATGATAAGTTACTAGCTTTCTCTCAAAAGTACCCCTGGAAACCTCTCTCCTTCTCAGAGTCAAGCCCTCAAAAGCATTCTCAAATATTGGCACTGTCTCTTTGGAGGCTAGTTATCCTGACCATTTATACAGATCATAAAATCAAAACCTACAGTTGGCTCAAAAACTCAACCTACGCCAAGAGCCCATTAATATCTAGGTTTAATGTCATTCTAAAATATCACCCAGCAGATCAGAATAACAGAACAGATAACTTACTGTAGTAGTGCTTTAAGATGTAGACCAAAAACCCTTTCAAATTGTAGTTCCAACTTCTGCCTGACACATCCCTTCAGTACAAGGATGCCTATCTGGTTTAGGAGCATAGTTTCAAATCTGCTAGATACCAAAAATTCACAAAATGTTGAAGTATATCCCACACAGCAGATTAACGGAATGGTCATTACATTATCGAACTTTATGTTCTAGTTTAACTATGATACATAAACAATAGGAGCTTGTAATAATGTGACAATTTTTACCATACAACCCATTCGCTTGGCATACTTACTATAAATACATAAAGGTAGATATTGTTGCTTTGCAGAAGAATTAATTCCAAAGACCCTTTGTTCTAACACCATCCCTTTTGTGTCCTTACCAAAAGTAAATGTATAAACAAGGGGACATTGTATGGTGACCAAAATGATCATTATTTTATTCACAAAGCAATGCCAGGTATGTTACCAGACAAGGTGGGAACAACAGTCTAAAACCTACCAGTGTAAAACCAATTTGTGCCAACACATTTACGTGAAGAGTTCATTAGGCTACTAAATCCAGTTATTGGTCTCTCTCTCTCTGTCTCTCTCTCTCTGTCTGTCTGTCTCTCTCTCTCTCTCTCTCTCTCTCTCTCTCTCTCTCTCGTCTCAATTAGCACTGTGTATTATGTATGGTAAAGTTTCTGCCTATAGAGCAGACAGTATACTTCCTCCAACAGTACACTCTGGGATGAATTTTCATGGCAATGGTCATATGACACAACTGGTGACAAGCAGGGCAATCATTTCATAGCAGGATAGAGTAACTTCACAAGAAGACCTCAATAAAATAAAGGGATGGGCAGCTAGATGGAAAATGAGGTTTAATGTTGAAAAATGTTAATTAATGCACTTGGGGGCTAAAAATATGAATGCAAGTTACTCTCTATGGTGGGACCCTTTGGGGGAATCAATGATGGAAAAAGATCTGGGGGTCCTAGCAGACCACAAACTCAGAAATAACGTGCAATGCCAAAATGCAGCAAGGTAAACAGACTATTAGCATGTGCTAAAAAGGGTATCTACTCAAGAGAGAACTATAATTCAACCGCTTTAAAAAACTCTGGTCTGGCCACTTCTTAAATATGCTGCCCAGTTCTGGTCACCAGTCCTCATGAAGGATGTGCTGGAACTGAAAGGAGTCCAGAGAAGGGCAATGAAGCTTTATGTCATATGAACCCATTAACCTTTGACCTTTTGCACATAGGGTCCATCATATAAGGTGAGGTTCTGTCTACTTAGAATGCTTTGTGGGAGCACAGAACTGGCATGCTTTTAGTGGTAGATCATTGAAGAATGTATTGCATAGAGAGCAGTCAGCATTGTTTTATTTATTTCATGTGTTTTGAACCATTCTTTCACCATTTGCATCTATTAGTGTTTCTTACATATTTTTATTTTTTCCATAAGGTTTATTAATAAACTCAGAGCATACAATAAGTACAGGTAATACAAGGTATCAGTCGGAAATACAATAGGAGGTAATGCACATACACCGAACAAAAAGATACATAGCAATCCATAGACAAAGAATCAGACGTAAGTCATCCCAGGGGAAAGAAAACGGGAAAAATGAGAACATGCGAGCGCAGGAACATTAAAGGCATATCTGGTCTCAAGCCCTTATTCAGCATATTGGAATCACAGCACTGGCAGGGTCAATGATATATAACCTCAGTTACCGAGCAGCAGCAAAGAGCAGGGCCAGTGAGTCAAAGGTATGTATACAGTAGGTGTGGAGGGGGGGGGTGCAAGGGCTTGTAGGATATGGCCTTGTACTTTTGATTAAACTGAGGTAACCCACTGCAGATTGCAAGCACGTGGGTAAAGGGTTCGGGAAAGGAGATATGTAAAAGTAAAACATATGCGCAGCTGGATTGCAGGTAGGGTGTAGGGCTCCTATGAGTAGAGAAGTGTACCAAAATAGAAAGGGGAGAATGAAAGCTAAACTCTGAGTAAGAAAGCAGGGAAATGGGGATTGAGAATTTAAGAATAAGCATGAAAAAAGAAGGAAAGAGAAGAGAAGAGGAAAAAGAGAAAAAAAAAAGGGGGGGGGGAGATGGGGGTTGAGGAAGGGTCGGACGGGGAGGAGGTGTGGAAGAGTAGGAGGGTAGGTAAGTCACCTTTACTCTAGACTCCCAAGACAGGAGAGATATGCGCAACCCTGGTAGAGAAGCGAGCTGGGGACAGTTGCAGGCGTATCAGGGTGCC